TTTGTATTTTTAGTAGAGATGGGGTTTCACCATGTTAGCCAGGATGGTCTCAATCTCCTGACCTTGTGATCCACCTGCCTTGGCCTCCCAAAGTGCTGGGATTACAGGCGTGAGCCACCGCACCTAGCCACAAGTGGTTTGATCATGGACACTTTCTCTTTCCCTCGCACTCCTTTCCCCCCATATCCTTCATCCCCTACCCTCTAGATTACTGTATTAACAGCAGGTTGTGAGTGTAGATGGGTCTCAAGGGATAAGTAGGAGTAGGGAAAAAGAACAGGTGACAGGCAGCCCAGACAAAGAACAGCACATCCAAGGGCAAGGAAGCAAGAGCTTAGAGCTGTGACTCTTGAAACTTTAATGTGCAGACAAATCACCTAAGGATCTTGTTGAACTGCAGATTATGAATCAGCAGATCTGGGATAAGGCCTGAGATTATGCATTTCTACAATTTTCCAGGGAATGCCCATGCTGATGGATTACACTTTGAGAAGCAAGGATATAAACTGCATGCAGTTCAATGTAGTAACTACCTGCCACATGTGACTTTTATTTTTATCTATTTATTTATCTTAGATGCAGGGTCTTCTGTCACCCAGGCTGGAGTGCAGTGGTACCATCATAGCTCACTGAAGCCTTGAACTCCTGGGCTCAAGCAATCCTCCTGCCTCAGCTGCCTGAGTAGCTGGGACTACAAGCCTGTTCTGCCATGCTTGGCTAAATTTTTTTTTTTTTTTACAGATGGGGTCTTGCTATGTGCCTGCAGCTGGAATGCAGTGGCTATTCACAGGCACTATCAGAGCACACTGCAACCTCAAACTTCTGGTCTTGAGGAACCCTCCCACCTTGACTTCTGCCCAAGTAGCTGGGATATAGGCATATCATCACCATGCCCAGAATGACTATTTAAATTTAAATTAGTTAAAAGTAAATAAAGTTTAAGATCCAGGTCTTGCATTGTGCTGGTCACATTTCAAGTACTCAATAGCCACATGTGACTACCATACTGTAGAGCAGATATATAGAACGTTTCCATCACTGCAGAAAGTTGTATGGGACAGTGCTGGACAGCATTCAGGGAACTGTGCTTAGTTTAGCATGATTGGATCATAATGGGTATGTGGGAAGTGGGGGGAGGAGGTAGATACAAGGGGGTTGGTTTTGTTCCTAGTGGCAGTGAAGAGCCATTTAAGGATTTCCAATGGAGATGACAGCAGTGCAGAGGAATTCATAGGGAAGCTTGAATGGAGGTGGAGGCTACTGCAGTGGATGATGCAGAAAGTAAATGATGGAACTAGAACTCCAAGCACAAGCAAGGGCTGGAGAGAAGAGGCAGACTTGTAGATGGTCAGTAGAAAGAACTGTCTTCATGGAAGATGAGGAAGTAGGAGGCTGAGAAAGGGAAGCATTTGCGCTAAGTCCTGGACAGCTGGGCTAAGGAATTGTTCCTTGTGTGTGTGTGTGTGTGTGTGTGTGTGTGTGAGCAGAGTCTCATTCTGTTGCCAGGCTGGAGTGCAGTGGCGCAATCTCAGCTCACCGCAATCTCCACCTCTTGGGTTCAAGCAATTCTGCCTTGGCCTCCCGAGTAGCTGGGACTACAGGTGCCTGCCACCATGCCCAGCTAATTTTTGTATTTTTAGTAGAGATGGAGTTTCATTATGTTGGCCAGGATGGTCTCCATCTCTTGACCTCGTGATCCATCTGCCTTGGCCTCCCAAAGTGCTGGGATTACAGGTGTGAGCCACTGTGCCCAGCCCCAAGGAATTGTAATTCTTCAAGGCAGAGGACACGAAAAGGAAGTAGAGGGGTGGAAGAAGAGAATGAACTCTGTTTGGGACAATAGCATGATTTTGTGGTGTCTCTGGTAAATCTAAATGAGAATATCTGGAAGGCTGGTGAGTATTCTTTTATGTCCCTTTATTCAATTAGACAGATTAAATTTGGACAGACTAAACCCCCTTAAATTGGACAGACTGGCCAGGTGTGGTGGTTTGTACCTGAAATGTTAATGCTTTGGGAGGCTGAGGCAGGGGGATCACTTAAGCCTAGGAGTTGGCACCTGCCCCATAGCTATGATTGTGCCACTGCACTCTAGCCTGAGTGACAGAGCAAGATCTTGTTGAAAGAAAAAGAGAGACTGGGCACGGTGGTTCACGGCTGTAATCCCAGCACTTTGGGAGGTCAAGGTGAGCAGATCACAAGGTCAAGAGATCAAGACCATCCTGCCCAACATGGTGAAACCCTATCTCTATTAAAAATACAAAAATTAGCTTGGCATGGTGATGCACGCCTGTAATCTCAGCTACTTGGGAGGCTGAGGCAGAAGAATCACTTGAACCCAGGAGGTGAAGGTTGCAGTGAGCCAAGATGGTGCCACTGTATTCCTGCCTGGTAACAGAGCGATACTCCGTCTCAAAAAAAAAAGAAAGAAAGAAAAGAAAAAGAGAGGAAAGAGAGGCGAGAGACAGAGAGAAAGAAAAGGAAGGAAATGAAAGGAAGGAAGGAAGGGAAAAGAAAGAAAGAAAGAAGGAAGGAAAGAGGACAAAGAGGACATACTAATTTCTCTCAAAAAATCAGGCCCAATAATAAACCAAATTGAAACAATTCTTTTAAAACTGCATTATAAGCATTTTTAGTACCAAATATATATTATATTGAATTTAACTCAAAAGCAGTTATAAATCAGTTTATTTTGTTCTATCATCTCTATATTTAATAGACATCTAAGCCCAGAGAGCAATTTCACTATTTGTCTCCTCTAAGCCCAGAGAGCAGTTTCACTATTTGAAATGAAGTTTGTCATCTTCATTGAATTGAGGTATTTGGCCAGAAATGTGAAACCTTCAGATTGAGACGAATTTCTCTTAAATCAAACACAAATAGAATTTTCATAATTCCTTCCCATTTTTATCCCCTGATTTGGGGGAAAGACATTCTGCACAGCTACCCCCAGTCCCTGCTAGGTTGCTGCTGAATTCCTGCATTAGTCTTTTTACTGAGGAGATTTACTTCTCTTTTCAAACATTTTCCCATGTAGCTTAACCACATTCATTGCCATAGTTAAAGGAAAGGTAATATCTCTCAGCTATCCAAAGGGATTATAAAAAAGGGAAGATTCCAACTAGAGACATGTTTGGAAGACTCTTGAGAGAGGTGAAGGGACAATAAGCTGATATTCTCACTCAGATTTCAACAAGATTCTATGAATATCTCCAAGATGATGGCTGGCTGCTAGGGTTTATTGGAGATATATTGAGATGGAGTCTTGCTCTGTTGCCAGGTTCAAGCGATTCTCCTACCTCAGCCTCCCGAGTAGCTGGGAATATAGGGGTGCGCCACCACACACAGCTAATTTTTTGTATTTTTAGTAGAGATGGGGTTTCACCATGTTGGGCAGGATGGTCTGGATCTCCTGACCTCGTGATCCACCTGCCTCGTCCTCCCAAAATGCTGGGATTGTGAGCCACTGTGCCCGGCCTATTGGTAAATGTTATTCAATTTCTTCTTCCCACAAAAATCATCTCAATCACACCCAAAACCGCACCCTACATCAAATCCTGTCATTCCCCTGTTAAAAAGAAAAAAAAATAAAACAAACAACACTTGAACAGCTTTTCATCATTCTTAACACAAAATATAAACTCTTTCACACGTACAAAAATTAGCTGGTCATGGTGGTGTGTGTCTATAATCCCAGCTACCTGGGAGGCCAACGCAGGAGAATCATTTGAACCTGAGAGGTGGAGGCTGCAGTGAGCATGAACGTGCCACTGCACTCCAGTCTGGGCAACAGAGCTAGACTCGATCTCAAAAAACAACAAAAATTCTTCCAGGGTTTCCTGCATAGTCTGGCCCCAAGCCACTCTCATCTCAGACCACTCTGCTCCTATATCCCTAAGTTCCATTTCTGGGGATCCTTAAACAGGTAAAGCCTTTTCCTATTCTACCTTGGGGCTCTGGACAAGCTGTTCTTTCTGCCTGCAAAGCCACAACTCCTTCGCCAGGCGTGGTGTCTCACGCCTGAAATCCCAGCACTTTGGGAGCCCGAGGCAGGCAGATTACTAGGTCAGGAGTTCAAGATGAGCCTGGCCAGCATGGTGAAACCCAGACTTTACTAAAAATACAAAAATTATCCAGGTGTGGTGGTGCACGTCTGTAATCCCAGCTACTTGGGAGACTGAGGCAGGAGAATCACTTGAACCAGGCACTCCAGCCTGGGCGACAAAGCAAGACTCCGTTAAAAAAAAAAAAAAAAAAGCCACGATCCTACTAGAGCTGCGTATCTTCACCAGTTAACCAAATATAGGCTGTTTTTTGGTTTTCCTTCCTGCTCCACCCTCAATATCTGGGGAAAGGCTAGGGAGCATGATGTGTGAGGGGCTCTGCTTTCACGCTGCTTGAGTTCAAATCCTGGATCTTACCTACCACTTGCTGGCTGCTCTGTGACTTTGGGCAAGTTATAACATAATTATTTCCCCATCTATAATTTGGAGATGACAAAAGATATTTTGAGGATTAGATTTGTTAGCAGATGGTAAGTACGTGAAACAGTAATAGAAGTTCTCCTTTTAGCATATACTCCAATTTTATTCTACTAATTTGTTTGCCAAGTTTGAGCCTGTTACTTTGAGATTGCTATGGTTGCCTTGTCACCCTCCCCCACTCCCACCTCCGACTGATTATGGACTACTTACGGGACACTGCATAAATGAATAAAGAGGGAGCATGAGGAGAAAGGAGGTAGTCCTTTTAGCTTTAGGAGGGGCCATGGGAGTGAGCTCGTTGAACAAGACATGGTCGTGGTTTCTCTTTAAGGTTACAGTTTAGGAGGACACAGATTATGAACACACACACCGGATGACTGTGGCTTTAGGAAAGGGTCCCTGGGCCGCAGCGCAGCCCTGGAGTAACCGCGATGGCCTCCCCGGAAGAGAACCCGAGGAAGGCCTGAGAACACTAGAATCACCAACACCGAGGACTGGTGGGGAGCCTGACGAATCTGATTCCGAGAACGATGTTCCGCGCAGAGCTGGCAGGTCCACGCGCCACTGCAGGAGCCAGACCTAGGCCGGCCCCGGACACCGATAGCCAATGGCCCTGCCCGGTCCCCCCTCCACCCCGCCGCGCCCAAGATTTGCGGGATTGGCTGTGCGTGCCGCGGCCCTCCACCCCGCCCCGCCCAGAGGCTTCCCGGGATTGGCTGAGCTCCCCGACCTCTCCAGGGATGGGCTGCGCGCCCCGCCCTAGCCCAGAGTCTTCCCAGGATTGGCTGCGCGCCCCGCGGCCCTCCCCTTTCCGCCCCGCCCCGCGCCGCCTCTCCGGTTTGTGCGCCGGGCTCAGGTCTCCCGCCTCTTTGTCCGCTGGAGTTGCGCGGTGAGTGAGTCTCCAGCTTTAGGCTTTCGGTTTCGGGCGGGGAGGGCGCCCGGTCGGCCCGCGGGCCCGGTCAGGGGCTGGGGTCACCCCGCGTCCCCTCGAGCTTTGCCCGCCCCGAGCTCCTCTGCTCCCGGCGGCCAGAATGGAGGGGTAGAGCAGTCCTCGTTGGCCCGGGGGGCGGGCAGCCGTGCCCGTCTCGGGGCCGCGCGAGGCACAGGCGCCGCGCCCAGCAGAGCAGCCGGAGGTTTCCGGGCAGGTCTGGGCACCAGAACAATTTTGCGCTTTTTCCCCAGGGCAGACACGCCACTGCTTTGTAGCAGATCTCAGGCGGGCCACATGTGCGGCGACAGAACCTAACCCCGGCCGACCTTGAGTTCCAGGAGTTCGTCTCCTACCTCTGCGGAAGTGCGGCGGCCTCATAGGTAGCAAAGGTGTGTTCTTAAGTGGAATGAAATGACCTAGCCCCGAGCACGTGGCCAGTATTTGTCGCCAAGGCCCGAATCCGGCTCTCCTTACCTGGAAAGAAACACCAAACCAAACAGTTGTTTCTAGTGGTGGTTTCAGACTTAGAGAAGCAGAGATCCACGGGCTATTGAGAGCAATGCGGGAAATAGTAGTGAACTCTAAAAATGAAAGAGAAAAAAAAATCCCAAAGTACCCTTTCCTGTGCCCTTTTAAGGTTGACCCAGTGCTTTAAGAGGCTAACACAGAAGGGTAAAGTAAATCTCCATAAAACCCAGAGAAGAGGCTGAAAATCTCCTCTTTGGATCCTGTCTGGAGTCACACCTGAAACAGAAAAAAAATTTGTTACAACTGAGCGCCTCTGTAATTTTCTTGACACAGTTTATAGAGCAAGTGATACATTTCAGTTGTTTTTAAAACGTCATTTTAAAACTTTTCTTTTTATAGGTTGACAACTACAGGTAAAAGCCATTGAAGCTGGGATGTCCTGATGCTGGTATTTGAATTGATTTAGACCAACTATCCCTTCAGTTACAGTAAGAAAATGCCTCTAATAGGATTACTAACTTGTAGCAACCACGTGTCCATGCAGTGCCACAGGAGCTACAGCAGCTGGACAAGGCTGGTGGCAACAGGGCAGTATAGCCGATGTTTCATGTTCATCTTTTAATTTAATTCTCATAATTTGGAGGTTGATTTTGTTCTCCCATTTCACATGTAAAAAAATGGATTAGGGGTAAATCCAGTGTTATGGAATGTGAGTATCTCTGAATGAGAGGCTTCACGTGACTTCTGGAAAGTCACTTGCCTCTTGAGATTTAGTTTCCTGGTATAACAGTTAAAAGACTTTAAGCAAACTAGGAAAGGACCATGGAAGAATATAAGCTCTTTGGCCGGGCACGGTGGCTCACTCCTATAATCCCAGCACTTTGGGAGGCTGAGGCGGGTGGATCACGAGATCAAGAGATCGAGACCATCCTGGTCAACATGGTGAACCTCCATCTCTACTAAAAATACAAAGATTAGCTGGGTATGGTGGCACGTGCCTGTAATCCCAGCTACTTAGGAGGCTGAGGCAGGAGAATCGCTTGAACCCAGGAGGCGGAGGTTGCGGTGAGCCGAGATCGCGCCATTGCACTCCAGCCTGGGTAACGAGTGAAACTCCGTCTCAAAAAAAAAAAACATTTATAAGCTCTTAGTATTCATTGCATTGAACTTAGAAGGTTCACAAAATTGGGCACAAAAGGATTTGTGTCAGCATATTCTGTTTGTGTGTGGCACAAGGAAGTGTAAAGGGATTTAAAAGGACACAGAGGTGCTACATTGTTAGAATAGGAAAGTTTTCATGTGGGAGAAAACTGTCAAGCAAGTTCACTCCTATTAACCAGTCTGCTGCGTGTCTAGCAATTGAGGTCTCATTACTCTGTAAGTCAGTTAAAAGCGACTCATTCTCCAGAACTTCTAAATAAAAGTATTTAATATTTATCTTGGAGTCATTCTTAATTCATAGCATTGTTCTTGCCTTTTTATCTAAACTTTTACATTCCACATTGCAAAGTCTAGCCTCATAAGTCTAGGTAAATTGCTCATAAATTTAGATACAATGTTGAATTATAATCTCAATGTTGGAGGAGGGGCATGGTGGGAGGTGATAGGATCAAAAGGGTGGGTTTTTCTTTTGCTGTTTTTGTGATAGTGACTTCTCACAAGATGTAGTTTAGATGTGAAGTGTGTCTGGGGCAGTGTCTCATGCCTGTAATCCCAGTACTTTTGAAGGCCAAGGTGGGAGGATCACTTGAGGCCAGGAGTTGAAGACTATCTTGGACAGCATAGTAACACCTTGTCTCTACAAAAAACGAGGCACGATTGCTTGAGCCCAAGTGATCAAGGCAGTGGTGAGCCGTGATCATGCCACTGCACTCCCACCTAAGTGACAGTGAGGCCCTGCCTCAAAAGCTAATGAAAGTAAAGGTTATGTAATTGTGCAACATGTTGTGGAAAGGCAGAGGCAGAAGAAAGGCCGAGTTAAGATTAAATGTGTGGCACCTCCCCCTACTTCCTCCTGCTCTGACCATGTGCGTCCTTAGTTATCCCTCATAAGTTTCCTGAAGCCTTCTGCAGCCATGCTCCCTGTACAGCCTGCTGAACCATGAGACAATTAAACGTTTACTTTATACATAACCCAGTCTCAGTTTTTTACAGCAATGTGAACACACGTACAAAAAATACATAAAGTGTTAACTAGCCAGAATTGCTAAGGGAGGAAGGAGGAAGAAAAGAGCGATAGTACACGTGTTTGCAGTGAATGGGAGGCATTTAAGAACATGGCCAGCAAGGGAGGCTTCACTCAACGTGGAAGAGCTGAGGGAGATGCCATGGCCTTACATCTAGTTGACGGAAGAGCATTCTAGGCAGACAGATGGAAAACAAGTGCAAAGGCCCTGAATTGTGTTTCAAGGTTTGGAGAAGCAAAGTGAAGCTGTAGAGAAGCACCCTTAAGGGGAGAAGGACACATCTGTATGTGGTGGTGGAGAGGTGGTTATTTTCAAATTACTGTAAAATGTTAACGTGCCTCTGGCCTTCGGGGCTCTGATTGTTTAACTGGAATGCTCCCTATTACCTTACACTTTGCTGCTCTTAACCTGACTTTTCTCTGACCACCATTAGCCCTTCCTAACTGCCCTTGACTTCAGCATCCCGTAATGGCCCTGTAACCTCAGAACTATATTATGCATTGCCTGTGAACTTGCCTAACTGCCTCTGCTTCTCCATTCTGTAAAGTCCACCTTGGTTCTCATCATTATGGTTTAGTCAGGTGCAATTCAGTTTGATAGCAGTAATTGCACTATTGAGTTGGGTTTATATAGCATTCAAGTAAATGGCTTACAGTCCCCTTCTAACGGCAGCATGTTGAACCTAGGTTCAAATCTCTATGTGTGATTTTTTTTTTTAAAGGCTGGGTTTTGCTCTTGTTCCCCAGGCTGGAGTGCAGTGGTGCAGTCTTGGCTCGCTGCAAACTCAGCCTCCCAAGTAGCTGGGATTACAGGCACTGGCTACCACGCCAGCTAATTTTTAGTAGAGACACGGTTTCACCATGTTGGCCAGGCTGGTCTCAAACTCATGACCTCAGGTGATCCGCCCTCCTCACCCTCCCAGTGCCGCCACCTACTCGTGGAGGGGACGGAGTGAACAACAGAAGACCTTGGACAAGGTAAGGTCCCAGGACCCCACCCTAGGCAGGCCCGTCTCCAGATGGAAGGGGAGCCTGATCACCTCCCAGGGTCTCCACAGGGAGACCACAGGTAGACTCTCTGGGCTAGGGAGGGAATGTAATAAATTCTGTGTGAGTGAATGTGGAATTCAAGGGCTTGTGCTTGATTTTCCAGTCTGTGGCTCCACGGTGAAAATCGCAAGTGGGCCCTCACTTGTGATTCTGTGGTGACCTCATAAGGCTTAGGGCAGCATCAGGCCAGGCTGAATCCCAGTCGGGTGTTTATACCGACCTGCCTGCCAATGCTAAGAGGCTTCTAAAGTTCCCTCGAGGGACACAGCCAGGTGGGCACCTGAGTGATCCCTAATAGGACAACCCCTCTCTTCAGACTGTTTCACGCCACGGGTCAAGGAGAGGACATGAGCCATGGGGAAGGGCTTCTCTGGAGATTATGGGATAAAAATGACTCCGGGGAAACTAAAAACTATTTGTGGTAGAATGACTAACATTCAATGTTGGCTGGCCATCTGAGGGGACCTCAGATGTTCCCCACAGTACAAGCTGTTTGGAAGGCTGTCACCGGCAGTCCTGGACACCCAGACCAATTTCCTTACATTGACTCCTGGTTAGAAGTAGCTCAGCCTCTCCCATCCTGGGTTCGATTCTGCACTGGTAGAAAGGGACAATGTAAGGTTTTCGTGGCTCAAGTTACCAAAGGACCCAGAAAGCCCATCCACCAAGGCAACCCTGAAGAGGAGCTTCCACCACCACCCTAATCCCCCCCCCGACAATCCCATTGGCCCCCACTCCCCCGAGCTTGCCTGAGACACCCCCATGTTTGTGGAAACCGCGGAAGCCAGTGCAGCCGGCCCAGAGTCCCAGTGCCCTGGGGCCCCCCTCGCCAGAGGCTTATGGTCTTCGCAACCGGCCCTTCAAATGCCTCTGTGGGAGATTCGAGGCCTCTCCACAGTAACAGAAGATGGGACGATTGAACCTGGGAGGCCCATTCTCTATTTCCAACCCTTCAGTATCACAGACCTCCTGAACTGGAAACACCATACTTCAGCATATTTGGAGAAGCCCCAAGCCCTAACTGACCTGAAATCCATCTTCCAGATGCATCAGCCCATTTGGGATGACTGCCACCAGCTCCTCCTCACACTCTTCAATACAGAGGAGTGAAGACATATTTTAACCGAGACACAAAAGTGGCTTGAAGAGCAGGCCCCAGTGAGAGCCCTTGACAGGCTGATGGGCAGTAGAAGCCCTGGCAGATATTAAGCCAAATTGGGACTTTAACAGTGAGTCAGGAAGGGCCTCCCTTCAATGCTACCGGGAGGCTCTCCTCAGAGGAGTCTGGGAAGGGGCAAGGGAGCCAACCAACATGTCAAAAACCGCAGCAGTCACTCAAAAGGCAGATGAGTCCCCCGGTGACTTCTGTGAGCGACTTTGGGAGGCCTTCCGGATATACAGCCTGTTTGACCCAGAGGTGCCGGAAAAAGTGTGGATGGTCAACGCTGCCTCTGTCACCCCGTCAGCTCCAGACATTTGACAGAAGCTACTGAAAGTGGAGGGCTTTGCAGGAGTGAATGCCACCCAACTGCTGGAAGTCACCAGCAAAGTTTATGTTAACCAAGATCTGCAGGCACAGATGGAGGCAGAGAAGCAGATGAAACAGTCACCCTCCTGGCAGCAGCTTTCGGCCGGCCAGTCCCACTCGAAGACCAGGTCCGCCTCATAAAGGGGGGAAGCCTGAGCACCCACCTCTTGCAGGCTGACCAGTGCACCTACTGCAAAGAGTTGGGACATTGGAAAAATGAGTCCCCCCAAGAGAACGGCCCTGAATAGGGCCCCACCCAAAGGGAAGGGGAAGTACCAGCCAGAGCCTAATGAAGCCCACCTGATCGCCTTGGCTGGCATGGATTCAGAGTAGGACAGGCTGGGCTCCATAAAACTTGGCCCCTGTGAGCCCATGGTCAAAATGAAAGTCGGGGGGCCATCTAATGACTTATGGTGGACACCGGTGCAGAGTATTCAGTTGTTACCACCCCAGTCACCCCATTTGTCGACAAAAAGGCCACCATAATTGGAGCAACAGGAAATCAAGTGGAGGCCCAGCCATTCTGTCAAACCCAGATGTGCCAACTAGGGGGGTCACCAGATATGTCATGAGTCCTCTACCTCCTGGAATGTCCTGTACCCCTCCTAGGGAGAGACTTACTAAGAAAACTGAACAAGGGGTATTGGTGAGCCTGACTTTAGGCTGGCCCAGGAAAGGTCTGGTTCTGACAGTCACAATCCCACATGAAGATGAGTGGAAGCTGCACACTGTTGAGGAATCAGAGAAAAACCCACTGGAATTACTGAATGCCTTTCCTGCAGCATGGGAAGAGGGAAACCCACTGAGAATGGCTAAGGTCCATGCACCACTGATAATTGACTTAAAGCCTGGGGTCCTTCCAGTGAGGCAGAGACAATACCTGATACACTGAAAGGCCCAATTCGGAATCCAGGAGCACATTTTGTGACTCAGAAAGGAAATGATATTAGTCGAATACCAGTCTCCTTGGAACACTCTCTCATTGACGGTAAAGAAACCTGGTGGGGGAGGGTACCGCCCAGTACAGGACCTGAGAGCAGTTAACAGTGCCACAGTCACTCTACACCCCGTGGTCCTTAACCCATACACCCTCTTGAGTCAACTTCCCCCTGAGGCAGAGTGGTTTACCTGACTAGACTTAAAAGATGCCTTCTTCTGCTTACGATTGGCACCAAAAAACCAACCACTCTGTCTTCAAATGGGAGGACCCCCAGACACGGAGAAGGATGCAACTGACCAGGATCCACCTGCTCCAGGGGTTCAGAAACTCCACCATGCTGTTTGGGGAGGTGCTCGCCTCAGATCTAGCTGCCTTCCCATGGGAAGCACTCAACAGTGCACTAATACAGTATATAGAAGACCTTGCCAGTGAAAAGCAAGAGACTGCCAAGAAGGAACCAAGGCACTGTTACAGCTTCTCACAGAGGCTCAAATTTGCAGGCAACAAGTACAGTACTTGGGATTTTTCATCATGCAAGGCCATTGGTCTCTGGGACCAGAAAGAAAGACGGTAATCTGTTCAGTGCCCACCCTGGATACTAAAAGAAAACTCCAGGAGTTCCTTGGGGTGGCAGGATTCTGCTGCATCTGGATCCCCGGCTTCTCAGAGATAGCCAGATCCATCTACGAAGCATTGACTGGACCAGAACATGAACCCCTTGTGTGGGGTGACAG